AGACAATGTTCTGAAGAAATAGCTCTTGCTTGGCATTTCTTTAGAACAAACCTGAATCTTGGCAAACTAAGGCTAGGTCAGTGGAACAATATTTTTCGTACATAACTGAAGCTGTCAAAGTTTATGTGACTTTAAAAGGAGACAAAAGATTTTTAAACGCCTGTATGTAGTTTGGTTTTTGTTAGAAATGCAGTTAGACTGAGCAAAACAAAGCAGGCATTACAAAATATTTAAAATTGCATTTTACAAGTGCACAGCTGTGCAGTTCACTTGAAATTTAAACTAACAGATCTCTGCTGACACCTGGTGGATATGAACGGATTTGCTATGTAAAGATCTGAACGAGCTAATACTAGTATTTATTAGGATTTAACCTCAGTGTTGTAAATAGTTGTAAATAGGATGCACGTGACGTACTTGGCTAAGCTAAGTGTTTTGATGTATTTTCTGTATTTTTGTAACAAAGAGAATATACAATGCCACAACAATATGATTTAATCACAGACGAAGACAATGTTTTTACATGCACTGTTTAATCACGTTGAATGATCACAGATAATGAACGAGTTTTAATGCAATTACTAACTGTTTATTATTTGTCTTTTGCATTTCTCTCGTGCATTATGTCCTTAATTTACAGCTTTGGATTCCTTTGAAGACTCTTTTTTTGCACATGATCAAGTTGGTCAAAGCAAGTATTTGTCTCATGGTAACGTTTTATAAATTTAGATGCCTTTTCATAGCTTGCATGGTGGATGCTGTGCTCGTTGCAGCCTCACACACATCTTCTCTGTTTCTCTGCAGATGCGTGGACTGAAAAGAATAGAAGGATGGTTTGTTTTTGTGCAAGGAGCTGGTGCGGTGCATGCCTCTCTTTGGCCGTGAGGTCATTCCTTCATCTCTTGGTGCAGCGCTATGACTGTGGCATTGAACTCTGGCTCGTTTCAGAATGATCTCCTCACGTCTGTGCTTCTCAAAGTGCATGTTCCTGCCCAAAGAATTGGTATGTTTCTTTAGTAAGTTGGATGATAAATAGGATTTTGCAAGACAGCAGGAATGTTCTAAAACCTTCAAGCCTGGTCTCAGTAAGGAGCTTGTAGAGCTTCCAGAAGAACGTCTTCTATTCTTTTTCCTGTTGTTCTGGGGGCTTTTTGGTGCATATAGTGGACTTTGCAGGGCCACAGCATGCAGTGGACTGGGATAGCGATACACTTCCATGCCCTGGTGACCTGGAATATCAGAACGGTAGGTGGGTTGCAAGACAACTTTGGGTTGAAGTATGTCTGAAACATCTGGCCAGTGCGAGTCTGGATACAGATCCACCACAAATCGGAAACCATCTTTAGGAATCGTCTCATCTGAGAAATGGGATTGAACTCCTCTGTGCTCTCGTAATAAAATGGGTCGGATCCTCTGAGGTTCCTCAACCATGAAACGTTCTCCATCTCTGAGAGTGTTCTTGTATTTCAAAGAGGCCAAAGAGGTGGAGAGAGAGCTGATGGTTTCATCACAGTCAGAGGGGGTATAAAAATACCCAAAGTCGCAAAAACCTGAGCTTGTCCTTGACTGACTTTGCATGTGCGAGTGAAGTTCTTGGTCATGCCAGCTTCTTTCTGTCAGACACTGATGATGAAGCAGGTCTTCAGATGAATGACTGGAACATGACCAAAGTCCTCTGGATTTTCTAGCCTCGTGAACAGCCTCTTCAGAAAAACTGCGCTTGAGCTTTAGTCTGAATGAGCCTTTATCCACAAAGTAATCATGCTGTCTCTGCTGGATAATCGTTGATGTTGAATCTTCAGGATCAACTTTGGTTTTTCCCAGGGCCGTCTCCACCATTATTTTGTGTCTGACTCTCAGGACCTCCAACTCCAGGAGTCCAGCCAAAGTAGCACGAAATCGTTCTCTAATACGTTTCCTCCCAGTGCTGGTCCATAGTGCTGCTTCAGTCTCTTCTCTGTGCAGAGCATTAGAGAACATCCTGGTAACAAGCTGAAGGCTCTAACTCTGGCTGCCTTTCACACTGAAGGTCTTTATAGCGAACTCACCCATATCAATGCAAATGCATTTAATTCCAGACATTTCTATTGCTCTACCTGTCTATTGATAAGATTTTCACTAACCTTTGACCTTAGGTGAAGAATTTGTTAAAGATAAAATGTAATGCTGTCAATGTGAGATTAAATTTTAAAAGTTAACAAGGTTAACATTTGGGAGATCAATATCCATGCCCGTGATAGCTTTAGCACTTGTTATAGTATGTCATTGTGAGCATGAAAGCATTTTAGCTATTCATGTTTTTTAAAACAATTTAATATTAAAGGCAAGACACCACAGGTAAGATATTTAACTAATATCACTGTAAATGTTTTTTTGAGGGGATTTTGGATATTTAATTTTATCACTCCATAAATCAGAAAATACAGTCAACAGCCAGAAAAGAAGAAAAATCTCTTGCCTTAATTTTGAAACAAATTTAAACAGTCAAATGTGTAATCAATCACATTTAAAATACTCTTTCAATGCAACACAACATACCATTTTTTTCATATTGTTTTTATATCTTTCTTCAAAGAACGTTCAAATCAAATACATTTGAAAATGGCCTCTGTGGTCCTATTCTTAATAAAGTAACAGTTGGTTGTTGCATCTTCTGATGTTATCAAAATATGAAAAAAAAACAAAGGAGCTCTGTATTCTTTAACTTCTAATCATCAGTGTCATCAGAAATTATTAAATGTAGTTACATTTACACAAAATTCACACATTTACACAAAATTCCTAAAAAAATCTCAACATCCATGACAAAAGCTATAAGTAACTTATAAATTATAAGGCAACTGTATCATTTAAATATTGCAAAAACACTCCTGCAATGATTGTTACTACTGTAATGATTAATAGGTAGTTTCATCACTGCAATATAATCTCTCCTATCAGACACCACTGGCAACATGTTTAATTAATCTTTTTTTAACTCTTTTTACCCTTGTTCCACCTTGATTATAAATCAAGCCCACTACATGAAACATTTACTACCAATGAAAAAACATGTCACTCAATTTCTGTGTATCATTTTATTTACAAGCAGATATCAAAACATGCAGCCCTGCATTTGAAGATGTGACGGCTCATACAGGACCTTTATACACTCAAACAAAACATATTTCAAGACTTTCATTCATCAGAATCAGATTCATCATCTTGACTGATCTGGAAGTAGCGCAGCTCACAGCTTTCCTTATCCGACGCCACCACCCTCAGCCAGTCTCGCAGGTTGTTCTTCTTCAGGTACTTCTTTGTGAGGTACTTAAGATACCTGAGGAACATGAGGTTGTTAGTATATACACAAAGACTTTAAAAAGAACACTAAGAATAAACATAACCTTTTAGAGAACTGCTTCTCTGATGTGAAGCTGATTTTGTTCTTCTGACGCACAATTTGCACTACATTTCCCAAGTTACCAGTTTTGCCATTAACATTCACCTTCTCTTTCAGAAAGGTTTCCTGTTAGTAATAAAACAGCATGACCACTAGGGAAGAGAACCCTAGGCATTTAACTAGGGAAGGGAACCCTAGTTAGGGCACAGCGTTAGTGGTGTGACTACCTGAACATAAATCATGACAATCATTAAAGCATACTTTGTTATTTTAAAAAACAACTTATGTGTTTGGATCAGAAACTAATCGATTTAAAGGACCATAATTTGAATGTATAGATCCTTGTAACAGGAACAAATAAAGCGTTAATTTGGTTTTCTAGCCAATGTAAACAACCTATTTTTCAGCACAGAAATGTTGACTTTATACCATGTCTGGAAATTTCATAACATTTTCAGGTTTTCTATGCCCACAAAATCCTGACCATAAATAAAAGTCATGCGTTTCTATCATTAATTATGTTTATATGTATATATATATATATAGGCTATACAACTTACAAAGTTGGCAGAGTCAAGGATCCCATCCTCCACAGGGTGAGTACAATCAAGGGTGAACTTCCAGGAAACACCCTTTTTATTCTTTTTCACAACAGTCTGCCTTTTCTAAAGAAACAAACATATATTTTTAATTTATATATAAATCCTAAATTAAACATCTACTTTCTCAGTTTAATACTGCACTCGTAACTCATACTTGCTTATAAACGAATTAATCTTTAAAAAACAAATGGACACATTATGAAACGCACTACTACAATTCTCTCTTATCATGATAACCAAATGCATTTGAATGGTTCTGTCATGCTAAAATGCTCATTCACGTGTCTCCCACTAGAAAGTCAAACTAATGGATTAATATATTATCCCTTTTGCAAAAACGAACTCTGGTTAACATAGGATATATAAATGTAACATCTCATATTTTAATCACACAAAACAAAAAAATGTAATGCATTTAACCATTAAGACCGGTCAACACGTACCGGCGCCATCTTGGTGAGTTTGGCGTGAAAGAGGAGGAAGCAGCGTAGGTCTTCGCCACAGTTCACAATATTTTCTCGCATTTGATTGGCTGCCGGTTAAGGAGGATTCGTGAGGACTTTTTGCTTTAGTTCGGCGACGTCCGATTGGTGAATGAGTCGGATCTTTTGAATTAATCAGTTGAACGTAACATAACCGATTTGAACAATTCGTACCACAGATTTCACTGACGGGCAGAAAAGTAAGCTGAATAGCAGAACGTTACAATGAAAACGTACTTTTCTGGAGAAAAGCACCCCATAACTTACCATTTAAAGTTATGTATGGCTTTTGACAATGATTTTTAGTTCAGGTTATATTTTTGTGAAATATTTATTTCAGGTTATATTTTGTGCATACTGTAGCATTGAAAACATATCTGCTGCATGGCTCTGTAGTTATTGTATATGGATGTAGCTGGCTTAACATGCAATTAACAATGACAAAAACAAACCACAAACAGGCTATTCAAACATTCACATGTACATACACTGAATAGAGAAGGGAGACACTGGGCTCTGCTTACTAAGGAAGCGGGACTCATCCTTACATCATTGTGCAGACATACCAAGACAAAATTGGGTAGAGGCCTCAGGAAGCACATGGGCACAACCTGACTTGCCAGTTATTGGGCAGATTTCTGCTCTTGAACACATTTAATAGGTACATATTCCTGTTTGGATACAATCTTCATTTTAATGCTGCTCAGCTACACAACAGCAAAACTGGAAACTAACCCATTCGAATTATTCACATTAAGATGTTACTCAACATATAATTCACTTTGACTTTGAGAAAGTACTCCGTGGGAGCCAGTAGGCAGATGAAGTTTGAGTTTGAATAGACTGCAGTGCCACATGTCTGTCTCCAATACTGAACTGCAATACTTTCATTCAGTCAGTGTTGTCTGGGCATCAGGCCACAAACGGGAAATGAGCGTTTGGCTCCTCCCATGCAGAGGATTTGGCAGCCCAACCCAACCAAGCTTTCGGTCTTTCCCAGTTACTGTCCTCACTTTCTAAAATGACACATTCCATGTCATTTTGCCCATTTAAATTCTTTAATCTTGAATTTATTTAACATTTAAAACCATACAATAGATGTTAGAAACAATTTTATACATGTATAATATAAAAATGTAGATACCTTCTTAGTTTGAGAAAATAAACATTGCAGGTTGTGCTACTAAACACTGCTGTGAGGAACCCAAAATCATACCATCAAAATAGACACTTTCTATTTGTAGAATAACATGAGCACCTTATTTAAATGGAGTTTTCCCAAATGACCACAGACAAGTTAGACTCTGTAATTTTTCCCTGAATTTACACAAGCAGGATATTCATTCACCACAGACTGTAATACATTTTCATGTGTTAAATTTTACCAGATGAATATCTGCTGTAACTATGAAGGAACACTGTTAACCAGCCTTCTGGATCTTGTTTTAATACTGATCAAGTATGCCATAAAAACAAAAAAAATTAAAAAGGTAATCTATGAAGTTTTTATTTTTTGCGTGTGACAAAGGCCTCGAGTGAACAAAGGAAGATTAGAACTCACAAAGATTTAGTCCTCAAGCTCATTCTGGGGCAGCACTGATAAGAGCCTACCTGGAGACAAATACAGGCTTCAACACTTTATTTAAGGTCATCAATGACAGCCAAAATCAAGCTGGCTGCTATTGTGTTACAGAGGTATCCGCACATGGCCATCACATCCTTTCCACTTCTGAACAATTAGAGACTGGCATTTAAGGGGACATTTCACTGGAGTTTATTTCTCAGTCATAGCGGTTTTACTTGAGAAGGTACTTTTAAAGTACTGCAAGTAAAAGGAAGTGCCAACTACCAGTATGCATCTCACTTTGGGGTGGGGTGGGGGCATTCAATTGAGAGAAGTTAACTATAGTGTCAGCATGGCGTAGATCATGCTAGGAGGTAAGTAAAAGTATGACACTCAGAGAGAGAGAGAGAAAAAAAAAAAGTTCAGTGTCAGTTGGGGTTTCCTCTCTTCGCAACACCTTGCGTAAATCCTGCACACTAATTACTATAAGAAATTCAAGAATACAATAAAGGAAAAATGGATCCCATTATTTTACGTTCAGGAATGTAAGTGGTAAAAACCTGAGGGGGGACAAAAGGGGGAGGTTGAGGGGGTAAACACTGACAGTATTAAACCTCTTACCCGAGAGAATGCCAACTGACCCGACAAGTCCAGCACAGTATTGGAAGGAGAAGAAAAAAGGAATACAATCACAGCAAAAAAATTTGAGGTTGCTTGTGAAGGCCATAGCTTTGGTGACAAATAAAACCAAAAAAACAAATGCAAGAGATTTGTTAAAGTGTAGCATGTTGCAGCCTGAGCAGCCCAGTCTTTCTTCCTATTTGGTCATGGGTTTGACAGCCACTGCAGATTCTTCGCCCATAGCTGAAAGCACAGTAACCTGCCAAACAAAGAAAACAATGAGTAGGCTACAACTAGGCCGGTCATGATATCAACTTTTTGTTGTGCGATATATATTGCCCCACAAATAAGTGCGATAAGCGATAGTCATTTTAAAGACCATTTTATGCCACTGAATATATAATCATAATGTAACAGCATAATAATGCAAGAAGGCCTACACACACTTCCAAATGACACTTTTAATTTAAGAATATTTAAATCATGGAAATTAATATCAAAATATCAGATACCTTAAAAGACTTGAATAAAATTGTAAATAACATTCTAACAAAAAGCGCAAAGTAACAAGTAGAAAAAATGAAAAATGCACAAATAACTTGTATGGAGATTTTTCCCTGACCTTTTCTTTGTAAATTGAGGGTGCACAGTATTGCTGAAAAACACAGTCACTGCTTAAGGCCGATTTATAGATCTGCGTTTGACCTACGCCATAGGCTATGCGTCAGTTTCCATTTATACTTCTGCGTCGTTGTCAGCGTCAACGTGTAGTACACATGCTAACCGCTAATCAGCAGTGTCCACGGGCATGTTGCTGGTGTAACCCGCAGTACCACGGCAAAAGCAGAATAAGAATTGGCTCGTCAGATAAGCATTATAGCCGTGACGACGGCAAATAAATATCAAATCATTAAATCATTATTTAAAACTACAAAAAGGAGACGACAACGGAACAGGAGATGATGGCATTCTTTCAATCTGCACAAGGACTTGTACCACGGCAGATCAACATTGTTTTTTTGAGGACAACTACTGATGTATAATGCCATGTAGTATAATAAATGATAAGACACTTGTTCTTTGCTTGGTTTTATTTTATATAAGGTGTAACATTAAAATACATTAAAGTGCCCATAAACACACAAGTATGGAGGGAGGGGTTCTTGCAGACCAATCACAGCGCTTGCGGTCTGCGTAGAATTGACGAGCTATTAGATTTTTGGGGAGGTGCACATCAGGCTATGGCATATGGGTGTGCGTATATGCGTAAGCTACGGCGTAGGTCAGACACAGAAGCACAAACCAGCCTTTAGCAGTCAGATGTGCGTCAGATCCCTAAACAAGACCATATCTGCAGATGAAACTTTGTAGAGGCATTTTTTAAATTTGAACTAGCACCTCATGACTACACCACGTTATGTACAAGAAGCCGACGCAAGTGGAATGTACAAAACATGGTGACATTCATTTGTAAGTAAATATAATGGGCGATATATTGCGTCACCAAAAATTATTGAGGTCATGTACATATATTGCGCGATAAGTCGATAAATTGATTATTGCGACAGACCTAGCTACAATGACAAAAAAAAAACAGCTAAAGGACTAAATGCATCCATTCGAACTGGTGCACTTACCAACATTTCTTCACCAGCTGCAAATTTGCTTTCGATTTCTTTGCCCAGGTCACCTTCTGGCACACGCAAGTCTTCACGCACGTCTCCGTTGTCCATCATAAGAGAAAGGAATCCCTCGCTGATGTCAACCACCTAGAAGAGCAAAATAAAATAAAATAATAAAAAATTGGAATAAGAATCTAGATAAAGTCAGAAGCTAAAGTATCATGAAAAGCTAAAGTATCATCTTTTTATTGCCCTGGTGAAAAAGATTCTCAGACAACCAATTAAGATGAAATTATTCACTACACGCACACAAAAAAATATTATAAATATAAAATATATACACACACAAGTTACATTAAATCCCATCATATACTATTATATACAATGAGATTGGGACATACTAAAATGAAAGCATACACAGCGCAGCAGAGCCCACAAAGTCTGTAATATTGCTCCAAACGCACAAAACAATAACTTCATTTCACCTTACCTAAAACTAGCAAATTGGATTTTCCAGCTAATTAAAATGACCAAAACATAATTAAATGCAATCAGGAACCACCATGGAAAGCATGGTGATATCTAAATCCTGAATAAACTGACCAAAGTCACCATGTTGGGGAGAGTTTACCAAAGTTTGCCTTTATTACACACAACTAAAGGTCAGGAGAACTTTAGGGTAACTTAAGTACATGAACTCCCACTAGAAAGCATATTACATATGAATTTCCCCTAATAAAGCTTGAATTTTACAAAGCCATGCACATCTCACCTGGTAGTCATTTCTTTTGGTGTTAGGCACGTCCATGTTGTGCGTGGAGGGGCAGATATCTTCATACTTCTTATTTGAGAAAATGTCAATTCCAACCAGGTGAACCTGCAAACAAAGATTGGAGTACTTAACACTAATAACTAACACTAGTAGGTTAAAAACAGCCATATAAAAGAATGATATCAAAATATTACCTTTGCATGACCATGCTTGCCAGTCTTAGAAGTGGACATTTCCACAATTTTGCAAGGGCGACCCTTCAGAACCACGAATCCGTTCTTGCGCAGGGCGCTGCACTGCATGGGGAAGGTGGTCGAAGCCCCGGCATCTCCGCTGGTGAAATCAAGATCTGGATCTGCCATGATGGGGATCTAAACAGGGGGCACTAAAAGAAAAAACGGGACGTGTTGGTAATTACTAACTTACGGTTTCATTTGAAAATGCTCTCAAACACATAAGAACATCATGGTTAAGTCACGTCTGAATGAGCAAACCTTCCACTGTACGAGTTGGATGTAGTCAGGCTTACAAACTTAATAGCTCAAGATAAAATGTAATCTACTATAAACCATTTAAACCAAGTTCAACAGGTCTTAAAAATCGAAAAAAGCATAAATCGATTTTTGTTTGCATTAGCAGCCAAACCTGCAGCATCATGCTGCTCTAATTTCACCACATAACGGATCCGATTCAAATTAACGACTAAACTCGCTCACCCGTAAACTAACGGTTGTTTACGCCATCAAACGTGTCGTTAAAATACTTACCGAGCCTCAAATGACACTTCACAGCCGTTATTTTGCAGTCAATTCACACAAAGACCACGCCGAACCAGGCCAGATGGTATGCTAATGTCAGTTATAGCGCTTTAATCAGAAACACTCACTAAAACAATAAGCGGAGGAACTGGTTAATTCCACGTCCCTGTTTACAGAAAAGCGAGCAGTAAACCGCGCGAAGCGGGTCCAATTCGCATGGCGCACGTCAACGTGGTTTCGCCGCTGATCAATAACTCTGCTAAGAGGCTAACGCCCCGTTCTTCCGTTCCGTATAACAAAATAACATTTGAAACACATAATATAACAACAACCACGACTGGCAAACTATAACGTAACAAACAAAGAGGAGGAAACAGGTCTCGTGCGGTTTAGCCAAAGTTTCTCACGTGCCTCTTTTCAGTCAAGTCAGTGCGCGCGATGAAAGGCCTCGTGCTCGCGGCCTGCGAACTAGAGAGCCGCTCCTTAAAGAACCACCGACGAGCAAGACGAGCCGGTTACGTTCAACAGCAAGCCGCACGCGTTCGAGCCCACCGCGTTTTAAAGACAACACCGAGGCAGGAAAGTTATGCGTAATTTTTCGTCACAGTTCAAACACGCTCCATGCAGCACTTACTTCCAAGAAAAAAAAGGAACGTCAACGCGCAAGCGCGGCCAATTTTAATGCGGCATCCGTACAGTGGGCGGGATTCCTCTTCTTCTGCAGACGCGGTGGCCTGGGCCTGTAGTTTGTGCTTAGTGCCTCTCGGCGCTTAGGATGCCACTTTTACGTCAAACCAGTGTTGCCAAGTCCGCGGATCTCCAAGTAAATTGGGCTACTTTTACACTGTTGCCGCGGGATGTTTTTCATGTCCGCGGGTTGAAGCGACCCCAATAACGTGATATTTAGCCCCTGGAAGGCGACTTTTACCAGGGGATCGCCCCGAAAAGCCATTGGGCTAGTTTTGAGTAGCAATTGGGCGGGTTTTGTTGTGAAAACCTGGCAACCCTGCTTTCAAATGTAATTTTAGCCAGCATGCATATACACACTGCCGGTGTTCTGACGATTTGTGCTACCCGCTCAGATCGTGCTACCTCCCATTAAAAAGATAGATAGCACAAATCGATAGCGAAAAATGCTACCTATCAGATTGTGCTACCAGCATCTTATTCATGTGGTTTGAGGCTTTTTTTTAAATGTCCATACCTACCCTACCCTAAACCTACCCGTCCACACCTACCCTTACCCTTAAAGGTCCCATATTGTCAAAACTGAAATTTTTTCATGATAACTGAGGTCTAGGTGCTATATAACTACCATATAAGTTTCAAAACAGTCAGTCCACAGTAAAATGTACACAACCTGCATAAAGTAGCTGTGATTTTTCACGAACCGTTGTGATGTCAGAACTACAGTCAGCGCCCACAGTCCCACTCTCCTTTTGCCAAACCCCCAGACAACATCGCGTCCATGCCATTGCTGAGCAACGACAACACGGAAACATGTCGAAAAGGTTAACTTTAACCACAAAACCAGATCGGCCGACCTGTAACGTTACACTCTCACTCAAAGGATGGACGATCTGACTGACAGGATTGTTACTATGAGGTGGATCACATCTAACCTGTATAGTAAAGACAAACTCACCGTGTCTATCTAGTCATGATGAAGATACATTTCAATTTCAGCAGGATTCTATTTTTACAGCTACATTATTGTTCCAGCCACAATTAATCACAACAATGTTTATACAATTACAAATGATTATATATAAATCGTCAGTTTGTTGTTTTATACACTTGCACACAGACTTTATTTCATACACGACATAGTCGTGAGATGCAAGAAACATAGACATATGGCAAGAAATCTGTAGACGCACCCATAACAACAAAAGACAATACTTTATTGAACCTTTTCTGATAAGTGTGCGCTGCAAACGCAAGCATTTTTGACGATCGTTTCTGTCCAGTCTGCTCATTTTATCTCGTTTAACCACAGCTGTCATCGTTTTTTTGTCTGGCAGTGGCAGCAGATATGCGATCAAATTTCTAATTTGAGGCTGTATTACGTCGATTCTGGCACCCAACATCACAACAAGATGATATTTTAAGCTCCTTATGTAGCCGGTTTGAATGGGCTGCCTCCAGTTTCCCCTTTGTTTGAGATTGAGGTCTGCAGAGCAAAAGTGGGTGTTTCTGAATTTGTGTGTGTTTTCAAACTGCAGGGTGTTTCTCAATCATGCAATCAAAATGATCCCCCTTACCTAACCCCACCCCTAAACCTACTGTCACTATGACGCCAGCCAGTCAGGAAACATGGTCTAAAACACCCCGATCTGGTAACTCCCATTACTTTCCTGCAGAGACCTATACTTGGGACTTTGTTTTGCTGCTTCCAGCTAGCGCTGTGACCTCGGCTGACCCTAGTTACCTGTGGTTGGCCTGGCCGTGCGTCACTCAGAAAACAGCAGGCCAATCAGAAGAGAGGCTCATGAATAATAATTAGACAGGCCAAAATCGACCTGTTCTCAGCAGAGCTCCTGAGAAAGGAGCTGTAAAAATATATTGAGATGGTTTTTGGTACTTATACCGCAAATATATATTCTTAAGGATATCAAAACCTAAAATAAAACTCCAGAAATGTGTAAAATATGTGACCTTTAAAACAATGTAAATACATTTTTGGTAGCACAATCTGATAGGAAACATGTTTCGTCTGTACACCTGCCAAAAGGGAAGAATAATTAAGTTCATGCTTGCAAAATGTTTTCTGAAGTATTATGTGATTTTGAAGACTGGAGTAATGGCTGCTGAAAATTCAGCTTTGCCATAACAGAAATAAATCACATCTTAAAATATAGGCTATTAAAATAGAACACATATTAAAAATTGTAATAACGTTTCACAATGTTAATGTTTTAATAAATGCAGCCTTGGTGCAGACGTCTTTTAAAAATATATTCCAAACTTTTGACTGATTATTATTATGAAAATATACAATCCATTTTATATATAAGTGATTTAATTTATAATTCCTATTATAAAATAATATTACCGAAACTACTATAGAAATGAAATATAACAGCACACTTGGTCTGGTTTGATGTGTCGATTTATTTTTTAAAAAGCAAAGAAACCGTCTGTTTTAGGTGGCAAGTGAACACTGGGTGAGTTTCCAAAATCTGAAATTTCCATTTTTCCATTTCACATTCTCCTCTTTCAGAACCGCTCGACTCCATCTGAATAAGATCAAAAACTGGAGTTTCAGTCAAAGTAGAAAAGGGTCTAACATGAAGACTGACAAAATCAGTAATGCTCATTATTGCTATAGCTTTTCTAGACTGATCCACCAACCTGCTTTGCCATCACATTTGATATGCAGTCTTCTCTCTACGATTTTCCTCTTTAAACATAAACACACCGAGTATTGGTTAACAAGACTAGATCCACGAACAACCCTATGATATAACATTTTTGCAGTTATCAGAGGTGAATTTATTTCATGAGGAAACTGTACTGAACAATACTGCATTAAAATTAGAAAAACAAAAAAGTAAAATAAAGCACTCCTATTAAAGCATCTCTGACATTATAGATTTCATATTTCTCTAAGACAAACTAATCCAGAATACATTTAAAAAAACAATCACTTTAAAAAAGCAGCAGCAATAATACTGCTGCTTTCTAAATACAGAGACCAGCATTAAAGCACTGCACAAAACAATAAATAAAATGGATCAGGGTATCAAGAAAACTGTATTGTAAAAAGTTTTACGACCATAACATATTCGGTTTAGAAGATTCAGCTCTTTTGTGGGTTTTGTGGATGACACAAAGGGGATTTAAGTGACTTTGTTGTTTGGTTGATTTACAACATGTAATAAATTGTAAGCAATAAAATGCAACACCCACTACATGGACTAGGCACAGATTAGATGAGATCACCATCTCTTAAAAGTCCAGGCTACATTTAAAGTTACATTTGGAACAAAACTCTAGTTTAATAGCCTTAAAAATCTATTTATAAAATACTACAGCCTGCATATTTTGAGAACAAAACATGATATGCCCAGTTTCAGCTTCAAATGTCTATAACAGAAGGCTTGTAATCTTAAAACCTCACCGTTTTGTCATTTTAGTGTCAAATGCCTGTATTACTTCTTTAACTGGTGGATTTACAGGCTTTAAAAAAAACAGAAACGGTATGTTTAAATCACACACACCCAATCACACGCACTGGAACAACCATAAAAATAACAGCCAATATCCAGAATGCTCGGTTGTGCTATAAATCTCAAATTTTAATACACAAAAAATAAGAGAAATACAGAAATAAAACAACTCGCTCAGCGTGAATATAAAGGATGTACTTACAGTATTAATGTCCATATTAAGAAAGAAAATGAGGTCAAGCACACATCAAAAGACTTTCCACCACTGAAGGTGGTGCATGAGAGATGAAGAAATCAACCAACCTCACAGCCGTGTTGATAAAATGAATGGGAAGACCCCATAAGTATTTCCCACCTGCACATCCACTCAGTTCACAGTTTGCTGGACAAAAAACATGAAGTCTCAAAAGATCCTAGTTGTGTCAAGTGAATTTCACACTATTGCCCTTACAGAACTGTAATGAAAATATATAAAAGTATATAAAGGACTGTTATTTCACGATTCCACCTATTTGAATAAAATGCCACGTCATTTGGAAGGACTTCAAGTCTATTAATGTGCGATTCTGCAGTTAGAGGCATTTTTGTGTTTGTGTAATCCTAAAAATGCAACGTCTTTAAACAGTTTTATATAACTTATCAAGTGGATTTTGAAATGTCAGTTGTGTGCTTGGTCTAAAAAAAATTATCATAAAATTAATTGATCAAATACAATTCTTGGCATGGCAGTGATGACAGTAGTATTGGATAAAAAAACAATGTATAAAAATGAAAATGTATAAATAAATTACAAATAAACGGAACATGTCTTAAAGGGGGGAAAAATTATTAGAGAGACCAAAAAGAAAGAACAATTTTAAGATTTTCCCTTAAAATAATCCGTGGGTACCGAAAAGTTGCCCTAATTGAAGAATCACCCTAATATGAAGTGTAGGCTTGATTTGGCTGTTACACAAGACAGTGTCCATTTTTTTTAAAGTGTCCATTTCTGAATATTTCTGTCTGGCGCTCTACACTCAAATCACCTCTGAATCTACGTGGGATGACAACATAGCCTTATTTTACATTTGTTAATTACAACATCCTCATCGCCAATTGAAAATACCTATTATAATTGAATAACGTTGAAAATTCACTGATCTACTGGTTGCATTTCAAAAAGACACAATCCCCCCCCCCCCCGGATCCAACAGGTGAACAGAAACGAGGTAGCCTAAAAGGAAGCTCTACTCACAAAACACTACCCTTCGTTCACTGATTCATGTGATTCACACAGAGGAGGTGGTGGATCTTACAGAACCACAAACAGCATCGCACATTTCTGTCACATCCTCACAGTTCCTATGCATTCGATTCGGAGGCAGGACTCTTTTCCGAAACGGAAGTGGATATTTACAGAGGGTGGAAGTGAATGTCCCTCTAGAAAGAGTTGGAGATCCATCATGAGGAGAGGTGAGCAATCGACTCACCAGGCTCGATTCGCTTGGCCTTTATTGCACTCAAAAATACAAAACTGCAGCACATTCTTATTCTAATGACACGTGTTACTCCTGATACGAAAACAATTGGGATTGCTGGTATGTTAATGGTTATTTTTGTATCATTGGTGGAAAGCATTACATCTCATCATTCATTCACACTCTTACAAAGAAACTGTAATACTCAAAACAGAATCTTAATGTACTTTTTTATGTTTCAATAGAAAGCTCTGTAGTATTTACCAGTCAGTTGAAGTATTCAGACTGTTTCTTAGCACTGTGGTGATAAAGCGTTCCAGAATCATCTCTGCAGACCAGTTTCACCCTTTAATACAAATTACGGTCTAATCCAATCCATATGGAAATTCAAGTTCTCATAGGGCCAGTAAAACACCCAAAAATGACTCGCCTTATTGTCTTGCCAATATTTTTGTCAATGTCCAGACTGTTATTTGTGACCAAAACTTTGAGCCTGTTCCTCACACAAAACACCATATGGCTTCAGAAACTAGAAATACAGTGCACATTGACTACTTTTATGTTGTTTTTTTTGTCTGTAATTTTATTTACTTTCAATTCAATTACTTTCATTGTATGGAAGAGAGCAGCTTGAACAGTCTAATAAACTTATCTTTTTATGTGTAACTGAGGAACAAAAGTCTTACAGTTTTGGAATGGCATGAGAACAGAATTGTAATTTTAGAGTGAACTATCCCTTTAAATCGCCCATAACATAAGTTGTAAAGACAATAGAAATTAATATAAAAAGGTCTGATCGACAGCACCATCTCCCTGAGCACTAGGAATACAGTGCCAAACCACAGGCTCCAAATGTGAATACTATAGAGCTTTGGGATAAAACTAGGAATGCACAGTATGAATATTCAGAATCATTATATAGTTCCGTTATACGTCCTTATCAGCAGGCATCGATTTCCATCCAAAAAAGTAGCATTTTCCTTTCCTTACAGAAATATGCATAAACATCAATATATTACGGACATGAAAATAAAACCGAGCAGCTTTGCGAATTCATATTTAAGGCATTCTGTGGACAGCCCAAAGTGTGTCTGCTCCAACATAATGTGGCAAAGTATCATACAAGTCTTAAATATCAGACATTAGAGTGATATCCACATGAAACAAACATCTGTGTGCATTCCCAGCTGAAACATAAAAAAGAAAAAGGGTTGATCACACAAACCAGCCTCAATGGATTCATCCCGCAAGGGAGGTTTACTGACGTTCAGCGCAACCGTGATAAATTGTCGAAAAGTGTCTTAACAGTACAAATATTCACTCTACTCTGTGGGTCTTATTCCCCATATTTCCAGTCTTCACCTCCAGAAGACAAAAAACACCAGAACCCCACGCTTGTTAATAAAAGAGCCTTAAAAATAATGCAGACCGGTTGTTCTTCTCCTCCGGCGCCCCTTGTTGTTGGCGGGGGCGTGTGGATTTTGGGTTTGTCTTTGACTCTTCTGAGAAGGTCCCAGCAAGGTTTGGTCTTTTTGCCGTCTGCCAGATTATCCAGCGCACCTGGATTTTCCTGTCTTTCCTTTTTTCACACTTTTCAATAAAGTAGAAAAGGTCCACAGATACAATGCAGGGAAGGGCGGGGATGAATTACCAATTCATCATGGAGTTTCTGTTCAAGGTCATGAAGAAAACTTGGCTGCTGCCTCCTGATCTGACTGAGGCAAAGAACACCTGCGACAAAGAAAAGAGTCCACATGGAGGAATGGACGTTATTATATTGCCTATTATTCACATTCAAAGGACCAAACTCTTACAATCTACTGCCTTGGCTGTCTACATTCAATTTCCAATCAGGCTTATTTTTAGGTATTTATTTCAGCTAGTTGCCAAGGCAATATTCCTCACTTTCATTTTGTTTAACTTGATGTACTATAACTAAAAAACATACATTAAAGTATATTTAAAAAAAAAAAAACGAATAAAATGACAACACACAACAAAATAAAACATTGAAATTAAAATCAAACAGAAAACATAAAATAATCACTAAACACTCATTTAAATTACTGATAAAATAATAGTAATAGTATATCAATGATACTAAAACACTTATCAATTTAAGTTATCCACTACATGGGTCAATGACATATCCATGATAAAAATAAAAAATAAAAAACAACTTTTGAAAGTTTAAAAAAAACACACAAGTTCACAGTTGGTTTATAATTTTGAAAATTACTGTTTACAAAAAAAAAAAAAAAAATTAATGACAGTTAAAATTAAATGTTGTGGTAGTATAAAAATCACGTAAAGTGTAATAACATACTTTACTTAAATTTGATTACATTTGATCATAAAAGTTAATTATGTGATTATATTACATGAATGTACACCTTGCTCATTATATTCAAAAATGTTTGAAGTATTGAAGGTAAAAAAAAGGGTTATAGGTTTTTTATAGAAATATTATATTTTATATAATTTTTTTATAGAAACATTTTATAGAAATACTATTTACTTTATAAATACCACTTTAAAAAAAAATAAAAAATGTTCTACCAAATAATAGATTGTCATGAATTTCATTTTTTTAATGAGCTATTTTTCTTCATTATCATATCAGGACAGGTATCTCAATCTAGCATTTAAAAAACTAAAAAAACAATAAAATAATACATTATAAATGAATGCTAAATAAATGAAAAAACCCAAACAAACAAAATAAGCATCATGTCATTCACCCATGAAGACTCACTTAATTTAAAGGTGTAGTGTTTCAATTTGAAATATTGTTAACTGTACCAAAAAAGAGAAATATAATAATGAAAATTAATAAAATAAATGACATAAAAAATTTTACAAACAAACCTAGTGTGTTGTGTCATTGACCCATAGAAAGACCCACATAATTTAAAAGTGAAGCGTTTAATTTTTAAATATAGTTAATTGTAACCAAAAACAGCGAGAGTAAAAAGTAACAGTTAAGATCACGCATGGGCAAGTTGCATCATGGTGGTAACGTACTTTATCGTTTCTCTCCGAAAGGAACTTCAGTCGCTGTGCTCTCTTGTGCATGAAAACTCCGTCGAGGTGTCCCGTTTCCACGGAGCGGATCTCAATGGCTTTCTCTCCCCAGCCCATGATCTGGTTGGAGTGGATGTAGGCTGCAGAAGGGGAGGGGGAAGGTAGCGAATATACACAAAAGACAAAAGAAAAATGTGACAGGACAGCGCTGACACCAAATGCAGTACATCATCAGAACACCCCGTTAATCAACGACTTCTGACGTCCAACAGCAACTCCAAACTAGCCCAGATCCAATGAAAACAAGCCTGCCAAAGCCACCCCACATCAGGAGGTCATTATTGCAGCAGTTTCTGAGCATCACAAATTCAATTATGATTGAAGTACCAGTGGTTATGGATATTATTAATCTTTCATTTTCTAATTATCCTTTTGCCATCAAGAGTACTAGGAACTAGCATCCAGTTCCAGAGCTCTTTGGATACTAACATGAACTTTCTCCGAGGACTTCCTGTGGCTGATTTAGAGCTCTTCATAGAGATAATAACGATCTGGTTGTTTTGACTTCCTTTGCTGCTGATATCTTGTGTAGAAAATGCATGAGTTATGAATTTTACTCTGTTATGAGTGCAGAATCACTGAAGAGTTGAACATAATTTGGCTGAAACATTAATTTGTTCAGAACTGAGGGGTGGGCGGCTGCTGGTCTACATCTGAACCCTCAGTATCAGCCAACAAACGACAAAAGACATCTAAATAACAACATTAACATTCTGCACGGATGAGAGATGAAAACATGTATACAAACAAACATTCAAGCTGGAAATTCATTTTAGAGACACATGGCACATTATCTGATGCATGATTGTAGAAAAGCAAGAGCTGAAAGACACCAATATTCACATCTAAAAAGACAACAATAATTACACTGAAACTGATTATGGTCTCTTTGTCCTGGTTAAATGTAAAACAATTAATTAAATATGTTGGATAGAACATTTTTATTTTGGGTAAATTAATGAAAACAGGTCACATTTCACCCCAAAATCAAGAGAACATTTTGGAAATTATATTTTTTGCATGAAGAAAAATCAAGCATATTTTAGGGCCAAGATTTTTTGCATCGTGAAATAATTTTTTGATGATGATTATTAAGCATCTGTCCATTTGCATAAGGATATGAGAATGCAAAAAATCTTGAGGGTCCTAAAAATGGGCTCGAATTATTTTCTTCACCCAAAATCGATTTAAATAAATCGAATAGGAAAAAAATAGTTGCAAGTAAATCTCAAGAAAACTGGTTACCTTCCACCCCAAAATCAAGAGCAATAAAATAATATGAAGAAAATCAAGCATATTTTAGGCCCAATATTTTTTGCGTTGCGAGTCTTTTTTTAAAAATGACAATTAAACACATTTTTATTTGCATATGATAATAGCAAAATATCATAATGTCCTAAAACAGGCTCGAATAATTTTCTAAAAGTTAGTCAATTTAAATATACTGACTAGAAAATATATAGTTTTGTGTAAATCTTGAAAAAACGGATCACATTTCACTCTAAAAACTAAAGGAAGAAATAAGAAATTATTTTTGCATGAAAATTTTTAAATTAACATTTTTCTATTTGCATATACAAATGATAATAGCAAAACATGGTCCTAAAATGGGTTTAATGTTTTTTTATTCTGATTTTAAAGTGAAATATCACCCAGACATTTTTTTTTATGAGATTCACCCAAGGATATGAAACAATCCCCACGGTCAAATCTTGGGCTTTTGCTCAGAAAGGAAATCAGATTAAAGGTTATTAATCACAAAGACTTATACTGGGTTAACAGGGTAAACAAAACACTACACAAGAAGATGTGCTACACATACAGACAAACATTTCACTCTGTGTCAAGGATTAGTCTAGGTGGGCTGGGGTGGGGCGGCTCAATCGTCTAGTTAAGTGAGGGACAGGAAAGACAGAAGAGCAATGAGTGGACAAAGACATGCGTGTTTGTGTGAGAGGACCGATTCAGATTCTGAGGGGTGTTGGGGACGGTCGAGTGCTCTCGCACAGACAGCCGATCAGGGCTCTAGAAGGAGAACAGGAGCGTTTTGTGTGAAATAAACAACCAAAACCTACCAACAGAGGTGGGCATCTCTCCCCACTGGAGCACCACGTCTTTAGTGATTCTGCCGTATGTGTTCACATAGACTCCCTCATCTTCATAACACAGAAGCATCTCCATGCCGTCGGTCTTGGGAAGCACCACAATGGCGTGAGGGGTAACACTGCCCTGAATCTGGGAAGGGAGGGGTGGGCGCAGATGAGCCTTGGGGTGACAAAAACGAGCCGTAGTGCAAAACATTCCCCACTAGGTGACGCTCTCCCCCCTCCCCCGGGCGGCCCTGACAGTCATGTCTCGTGCTGAGGGTGGCCAGAGCTTCTCCCTTCGAGAAACTGCTGCAACAATCGAGACTCCTGCCCTCCGCTCGACCGCATCAGAACGGTTTGGTTGCTTTGGTTCGTGCACGTGTTTGGTTTGTCAAAGGTCGGAGATCGGGGACATGTTTTCTTCTTACAATGGAGATACTTTTCTATTACACTTGACAATGTTAGAACAATCATGGCAGTTACGTGCAGTATAATGAAATCTGTTTTAGACAACTTCATAACCATTCATCTGCACACAGAACATACATACGTGTTGCTCTAAACTATGTAACCAGGGTCCAAAATTAACATTTGAATGGTTTTTATTACTAATATATATATTCATTATTATTAATTAAATGTATTTATTTTTAAAATAAATATTGAATATAGAAAGCAGCTAAATCTTGTGACAAACATTACAGGTCATTGTGGCAGCACCATATACAAAAGCACATCATGTTTGAGTTTCCCATACTACAGTTTAAAAGTTTAGAATAATTAAGAAAAAAAACAAAGAAAAAAAAGTAATATTTTGATTCCTGAAGTAATTGTTGCTAGAAATTCAGCTTTGCAACCACATCAATAAAATACATTTTAAATATATTGAAGTAGAAAACAAAATGTATTAATGTTATTATTAAATAATATTAGTAATATTTCATAATATTACTGTTTTCCTTCTTTTTTTTATCAAATAAATGCAGCCTTGCTGAGCATGAGAGATGTTTCAAAAGCAATTAAAAATTCGTAATTATTCCAAACTTTTGACCAGTAATGTATATTTTAGACATATTTTACCTAATATATGTTTTTCGGGATAAATGGACAAAACGATACCTTTTAAGTACTTTATTAAGCTAATAAAAAGTTAAGAAACATTTATTATAATAAACAATTTTTTTTTATATAAACTAAAAAAAAGTTGTTAAAAGACAATTGCTTTGAATATTTATGTGTGGAAGTATAAATAGCTAAAAGTTAACACCCAAATGGGAAGTGTTTTATTTTTCTCATCAAAGCCAGGTTTTACTTGCATTTGCTTTTAGTGTTAAATTTGGACCCTGTCTGTAATTAAAAGGCACATATGTGATGGAGACATCAACACTACAGTGCATCCCAGTGTCCCCAGAGAGGAGTCGTCCTATTTAAAGTCCCTTAGGATCAGGGTAAGGAGGGGAGAGCTGCCTCCGCTCGGCCTGTCGTCACTTACGTGGGACGGAATGTAGACATCGTACGGATTCCCAGAGTCGACATCTATCACGTGAAAACCAACGCTGGAGCCATAGATAACCTTTAACCGCTGACCCTCCTCCACCGTCAGGTCCACAAGCATAGGCTTGTGCTGAAGATCTGTGAAAGACTTTGGAGAGACAGAAGAGACACTGAAAGCACAATATATAGTATTCCCAAAGAAATATGCTCTGTGCATGTGTTCTCTGACACACTCACAGCACTAGTCACAAGTACTAAAATAGCTACTTATTTTGCACATTTTGTGCTCTGCCCTGCCAAATAAGTTCTAAGACCTGTTTTTCTTTTAAAGTAATGCAGTTAATTTAAAATTAACACACAAACGCTCTTTCTTAAGGGGGTAAAAGGGTCTCACTTGACCGAACATCTGTCTCACCTTGAAAGCCATGAATTTGTGGTAGGGTTTGGGAGCCCAGGCATAAATCTCCACTGAATTCTTCAATGCAATCACCAAGAACTTAATCCTCTCATATTTGACTGTTAAATAACAAATACATGTGAAAATATTATTAGTATTTTATAAACCACATTCTCTGTTTCTCTGTATCGCTCTCTAAGTTAGGGGTGGGGCATATGACCAAAATCTTATATCACGTTATAGTTATTTTTGCTTTAAGGTCTTTACTCTTTATGATATCAAAATTTTTTATACCATAGAAATGTAATAATTTTTGTCACCAGTGTCAATATCACAAAACTAATACTAGCCTAAATCTAAAAAAAAAACTCAAGCTTACTGAAGACAAATAAACAGTCAGCGATTAAATAAGAATAAGATTAATTAATTATAAGCAATAGGACAAAAAACTACAGTAGAACAAAATAATAAATGCAACATACACTGTATATAAAGTAATCAAATGTATAAAAACACTGCATATTCTTTATTGTGTAAATAAATATATATTTCTTTTTATTAAAGTTACAAAAGTGATTTAGTCAAGAGCAGTGAGAGATTGTCTTTCTTTTGTTGTTTGATTAACACGAATGACAGAAGCAGGAATATTAAGACTGCTGTAATTTTAAGAGCTGCCCGGTTCCAATATACTGTTACACATGCGTTTTCTTTCTCAGCTGTTTGCTTTCACTTTCAGACCTACAGTGTTTACGAGAATACTTGCAAAGACAAGCATTTTGACACATAAAAGTGAGTATTTAAAAGTACAGTAGGAGATCTTGGAAAATGCTAACTTTAGCCTGCAATTGACGTCCAAAGCCACGCTCCCTGAACGCATGAACGCACACACAGACCAGACGACCAGAGACAACATTACTACAACACATCATGTGTCATTCACCGGTGAGAAAACTTTATAGTACAGTTAGTAACAGTACTACAATACCAGGAACGAAGGTCAGGTTGTTGATGTTTGTCTGCCGTTCTCGCTGTCTGCACAGCGTACGTAAACGTGCTGATGACGTATCCTGTCTGCGCGAACAGGGTGCGCAGAGGTATGCAAATACACATGTTGACAGGCAGGTAGGAAAGCCTCTCATAATGCTCGGACCGAATATTTTGATTGGACGAACATTTCTTGGTCCTACGCCTTCCACAGAATATATGAATGAATGAATGAATGATGCATTTATATAGCGCTTTATTGTGTATTGTTGTACACCCAAAGCGCTTTACAATCATGTGGGGGGGTGGGGGGG